GTTCGTTGATCGCGTCTATTGTGCGGCCAACCGATTTTACGCTGCATCATTTGGTATTCTCTCTAGCTGGCCGTGAAGGCCTTAATGCTAACCATGATAAACAATTATATGAAAATAAAAGCATGAGCCATTTTTCCTGTAGTATCAAATTTTTACACTATTCACGTGGACACATCATAAGAAATATAGATAGATGCAATATTCCTCAACAAAACCATCAAGGGAAAATGAATAGGAAATGAGGTCCAGAAAGAACGAAAATATTCACATTCGCAAGTCAGAGAAACCGGTTAAAATGTCTTCTAGAGGACTGTTCCAAACAGGGATGAACAAACAGAATGGTCGCCCACATTGGATGGAGGAAAAAAGAAGCTCAAAGATGCATTTACAAGGTGACACTAAACACACCAACAGTTAAAGGACCCAATGTGTATCACTAGGCCAAAACACTTCTCCAACTTCAATGATACCCTCAAGTGTACCCCAAGGTTCTGTATTAGGCCCACTATTATTTTTTGTTTATAGTTCTGACATACGTGAAACTGTTAAAAAATCTGTTATTCAGTCATTTGCAGATGATAATTACTGCATTCATTCAAACCTAAAGAGGAACCCTACTACAATTTTCTTTCAGCCACAACTTAAAGATTAATTCAGAAAAATCAAAAAATCTTCTGTTTATTTGCTGATAGGAAAAGACGTAGCTTAACTTCTCGCCTGCAAATTCAAATAAATAATCAAATAGTTCAATGATTCCGCAAAAATTCTAGGGGTTGCTTTCGATGCCAAATTGAGATTCACTGAGCATGTCAAAAATTTAAGTCTAAAATCTTATCTTACCTCGATCGTAAACAGGTACTTAACTTCAAATTGAGAAAAAAACTGAGTGAGGCATTAGCCTATATTAAATTATTGTGATATTTTATATTTTCCTTCTTTAGACCATGCAAAACTAAAAATACAATCCAAATCATACAAAGCAATTGCGTCCGCTTTATCTTTAGGCTACGTAAATTTCATCTGCAAAATACCCTATAATTAAGTAGAATGACCTAGTTAAGAATGAATGACCTACTACTAAAACAAGTAGAAGTCTTTTATTTATTGATCCGTAAATTACTTCCAACGTCAAAACCTGAGTGTCTAAGAACAAAAGTTATTATTAATAATCAGACACATAACAGAACCCTCAGAAACAAAACGATTTGTGATGCCGCAGCATAGTTAAATGTTATTCGAACGTGGGCTCTCCTATAATTTTTTTTTATATATCGAAGCAGCCAGGCAGGCGGAAGCCTAAATGCCGGAACACCGCGGCTGCTATGATGATCCCAAAGAAATTTTATTAATATGATTTTTGAACTGCCTAAGGTTAATAGAACTGGGAAAAGCTTCCTCTTGTAGATTGTTCTACAATCTCTAGACGCTCGGGACAAAGGAGCGGTCGTATCGGCCGGTTCTGGATGTACGAAGTCAGGCGGGTCTGTCTGGCAGGATCATCGCGCGGCGGCATCATGGAAGAGAGCTCTGAGGAGCAAAGCCCGTTGGTGTAACGGTAGAAAAGAGCTAGATCGCCGACAGCCCGCCGGTGCGAAAAAGTCCCGAGACTGTCTGTTAAAGAAGAGTCATCGATCAGTCGGACCACCCTCCTCTGGACAGCATCGAGCGTGGACAATGTAGTCGGGGCGGCAGCGCCCCAAACGTGTGAACAATACTCGAGGCTAGGCCTTATCTGGACCTTGTATAGAGTGAGAAGGTCATGCGGAGAAAAGTACTTCTTAGCCCTAAACAAATAGCTTAGCTTTTTCCCAGCGGCTGCAGCTATTGACGAGATGTGTTCATGCCAGATCAGGTCCTCGGTGAGCCGAAATGAATGGCTCTTTGGCAGAACTCGACCATCCATCGAAACCGGGTGAGCGCAGGGACGCTTTTTGTTCGTCAAAGTACAGTACTGCGTTTTGGAAGCATTGAACTGTACAAGATTGTTGCGTCCCCAAGCAGTGATAGCCTCCAGGCCTCTTATCAGAGAGGAAGTCATCGCTAGTCTTCTTTTTTCCAACTCAGCGGCAGCAATCGGCTTGTCACTCTGAATTCCTGCATGTAGAGTGCTGTCATCAGCGAAGCTGTGGATTGGGTTGATCGTGCAGGAAAGGAGGTCGTTGATATGTAAGAGAAACAGTGTCGGAGCCCTAGGGAACACCCACGTTGACGTTGTGGGATGAAGAGGAGAACCCGTCAATTACGACGGATATCTTGCGGCCAGAGATTAAGTCAGCCACCCATCTGCAACGCTTTTCTGGGAGGCCATAGGATGGAAGTATGCTTAAGAGGGCAGCGTGCCACAACTGATCGAACTCTTTCGTGATGTCAAGAGCAACGACATGTGCCTCACCATAAGACTGGATGAGTTTACTCCACAATTGAGTGACGTAAGCTAGGAGGTCCCCTGTGGATCGTTGGTGCTGGAAACCATACTGCCTGTCGCTAATCAAGCCGTGACGTTCGAGGTAGTCCAGAAGCTCGCGATTTATGCACCTCTCCATCACCTTACTTAAAACAGAAAGCAGAGCTATAGACCTGTAGTTGTAAGGGTCGGTCTTAATGCCTGAATGTGTCCTCCCGCGTAGTGTAGGGAACCCTTTGAATTGACGGCACTTGGGCGAGGAGGGACGTCCATGGTGGAGTTGGCAGCAAAGATCTTGGCTAGCACTTCCGCATTGGCCTTTGAGTTGAATACAATAGTTCCATCCTGACACGTGAGTGGTGGAAGGCTACTATGTGGGAAGTTCTTTTCAATCTGCTTGGCCAGCGTCCAGAAAGACCCACTGCCATTTCGCTGCGACATTACCCTGTGCCTAACTTTTATATCGTGCTGGTTTTTGGCATTGTGAACCGCTGCTTTATATTTGTTTCTAGACTCAACGTCGGCTTGTCTGTTCTCTACAGTGGGGTTTTGTAAGAAGGTTCTGTGTGCCTTGATCTTCTACTGGTCTCTAATACAATCATTGGCAATTGAATTCCACAATCATACACAAAATACCCTTTATCAGTTTTCCGCCAAAAAATTAAACTATTCGTGTATGTCTCACTATTCATTAACCACTGCATCACATAGTGTACTATATATATAATTTTCTAAATCTTAACACCTTATCCTTAGAATATTCTCGATTAACGGGGGCATTATTTTTGCGATTTCATGTTTATAAATATTGTTTAGGAAAAACCATTTGGAATATTTGTGATATTATCACTATGATCCCTTTTCGGTTAAGCGTAAGAGCAGCCAAGCTGATCTTCGCCAATTAGGTTACCTCTAAAGCATTGTTACCATGTAATTGTAACAAATAAAGAAGCCTCTATTATTATTTTCATTATTATTATAATACATACCTATTTCTTACCATATCGGTCCAATCACCGGTATACGACAAGTATTACTCAAAATAAACAAAACACAAATAAAACACTATAATAAAATATCAACTGTATATGCATAAATGACGAAAAAAGTTAAATGCGCAAAAGAGATAGCGATATGCTCAATGTTAATGCAAAAGTCTTTTTGGCCGCTCATGGTATGTTTAGTGTTAATAGTTACTGCTAAGTCTACAATGAAGTTCAGTTATTTGAACTATGCCCTAGATGTTTTTCCTTGACTAGCCAACTAGATGGATGTTCTCCAATTCGGGGGACTTATACTCTGAATAACCAGTAACGAGTCAAAACTCCAAAAACCACTTCGGCTACTCACTATTTTATTCGAACCTTGGAATTCAAATGTTATCGAGAGACAGTGCATACGTAGACTTGAATAGGAAGATCAGCTACTTTTCAGCAACAGCACCCCACTCTGTTTACACCAAAGGGACCAGGCAGGTCTAAATAATTATCTACAAGATGGCAATAAAGCTCGTTAGGATCATTTACAGCATCTTATGAGAAAAATACTGTCGATATGTCCGTCTTCATCCTGGATTGAATAGGGTTTGGACAAGCAAATTAAAAGTTGGATCCTCACCTCGGGTACAAATATTTTCCACACTTGCAAGCGACTATCAGCTTTTGTACTTCTTTATTGCCTAGATGCCCCCGATAAAATCAGTTTCAAAACCACATCTACTCAGAATTCCTATTACTTAAAATGCATTCACCCAAAAGTAGAACATCCGTAAATAATAATAATAATAATAATAGCATCTTTGTACAGAAAGAAGATGTAACGCCACAAAAACCACCAAGACTGCATAGAAGATGCAGTTCACGAAGTGTGTCGAACAACAATTCGGACTAACCATCAAATATAAAACGTCATAGAGCAAAATTGCCTACGATGATTCCATTAGACCATGAATAATTATCGAATAAAAAATTCTAGCAATGACATAAGCCTACCATAATTTCAATACGAGATATATAATTTTCTGATAGATGTATTTGGAAGTTGTCTTTGTCTCTCCTGCTTTTACCGTCTTTACAAGGTGGACCCGTTTAAATGTTGCTTTCGTAACCTATATGGGGTGTTCCAATATTAGGGGATAATAATATCACTAACACTCGGATAATAGGAGTTCCATAGATTCAAAATAGTATCAACACTGTCAAACTGTGGTTGATTCTGGTATGATAGATGGCGCGTTACGCTGTCTTATTTCCTCCGGTATAGAGGATAGTTGCGATACTTTCGTTAGTTCGTCCAGTGATACAAGACCAAGCCTAGACCGTGCTGATGAGTAGCCAAGATGCACGAAACTGATGGCCATTGTTGGCTGTTTTTTGGACATGTTTGGTTTGTTCAATGGCAAGTAGACCACATCTACTTTACAGCAATCTAGCGGCCACTTTACTATTAAACGCGAGCTGAGATCACTAACAGTTCCAACTAATAGCAGCTATGCGCCTTCTGTAGTGGTTGATTGTGGTGTGACAGAAGATGGCGCTTTGCGCTGACTTATTTGTTTTTTATATTATTTTTTTTTATACTCCAACCACCACGAAGACCTAAGGCCTAAACACCCATGAGGTACCGTGGGGCTATAGGGTGGTACCGGGGAAAGGGGGGAAGGGGGAAACGCCACACGGACTCTGGCGAGGGAACACGTGTGCATGCAACATGCACACATTCTGGCCCCGCCTCCGAGATCCGCCGGGTGGTACCTCTGCGTTCGATAGTCAGAGACCGTCTACCTCCTACGGACAATCACAACATCCATAGCCAAGAGAAAAATTTCTCTTTGGACGGGATTCGAACCTGCACAGCGCACAGCGACTGATCAGGAGACCGAAGAGTCTACTACTGCTGCCTAAATCACGATGATTTTGGATTAATGTAACGTATGAAGCTTATGCTGTGAATAAAGTCACATGAGTAGAACTTACTCTATATTGACGGAGACCTTTTTTAGAGAACAGATCAATAACAATCACAATATATTTTACATTTATTATCTAAGAAAGTCACCGTGGTGGCTGGAACTTCGGTAAAGAATGATTTCTGCCACTTCATATTTGTTATTCTAATACGTGATCCTCAAAAATTGGACCTAGCACCTAGGCTTAGAACCGACTCGTCAGCCTCTAGTCATCAATCTAGCTAGGTTCTAAAGAACAGTGATACATTCCTGGAGTAAAGTTGACCTTGGATAGCTATAAAAATATTTGCAAATATTTTATTGTGAATCACTGTGTAGACTGACCGCTTAAATGCTAATTCTATCCTTTCATGAGGTGCTTATTTTTGCGCTCCGTTTCATTAATAATGTATTACAAGAGTAGGTAGGCATTACCATAAGTGAGGGGGTTGGGATATTTTGGCATGATTTCAGCATTGAATGGAACAAAAATTGCTTGGTAAATAAAAAAAATTAATGCGTCTTGATATAACACATAGCATAGATATATTACTATTATCGATAAGGTTAGCTACTCCAACGGAGTTTCTAGGTGTCTTGTGTAGGACAAAGTTAAAACTTCTTGATATAACTCCGAAACCACGAAGCAGTTTGCTCTAGGAATAAAATTTAGCTGGTTTTCTAAAAAGAATTAAAATAAAATGAAAATACAAACACTGTTTGGGAGTGTAGGTATGCAACCACGACGTTTGCTCGATGTCAGCGCACTCCTTCCAAACTTAGAAGCGGATTAAGGTTTTTTCAAGTTTTCCAGAGAGTTCACTAAGTCAAATATTTTGCATCCTATGATTCACTCAATAAGATACATAACAGTGCTTGCTATGATTGAAACATCTCAGGTTCTAAGCGAATAAATCAAAGTTAAAATTGCTTAAAAGACATACATTGCAAAACCACAGGATCCTGAAAGTAAATCTGAATAAACATATAAAATATTAAGCTTGTTCATTAAAAATATGATCGTGATAACAATTACAAACAGTTGCAGCTTTAAGAAAATATTCTTGGCTACATATTTAAATCAATCTCTTGCCGACATGCCACTCAAAAAGATTTACTCTCACTCATCCCACATCTTTGTTGATTATGTAAGTATGATATACCTACATCCTTTGTGTAGAAATCTACGTTCGACGATATGTTTATCTGCTCATGAAATTGTTGTAAATATACACAGTGCATAGCGTACTGTTCATAGGGAAAGCTTTTATGCAAATTCGTACCTTCTTCATGGAAATTATTTACAACCATGGTTAGTGGGTCTTATGTATTAAGGTGCTCTTTAAAATTACAAATTTGTTTATCTATTGCATTACGTTATTTGTCACGTGCAAACGTTGGTAATATAAACTTCTGGAGACGGAGGATGATTTTTGATAACGTGGCATTGCTTCAACCAAAAAATGTTTTATAAACTCATAGTCAGATTCTTACCAGATTTCATTCTTGCAGTAATTGGAAGGTAAATAGTGAATCTCAAGTATCGAACGGTCACTTACACTGGACTAAATCAGTTCAGAGCGTAGCTATTCAACATCATATCATTGAATTGTTTGGCTTATTGTATTTGACATTCCCTGATGGTCATAAAATCCTTGGAATATGCATCTAACCGAAAAGTAACCAGTATTTCAGTTTCATACATTAAACTATAATCCTCGTTGGAGTTACGGAACTGGATAAAATTATCGTCTTATTTCGAGTGACCCTCCATTTAACAATGTACACCTTAAATTTCCTTAATGAGTGTAAGTGGCATTAATTTGGATTAAGTTTAGAATTATACTACTGGCAAAAGGATAATGCAGGGAATGAAAATAGAATAAAGTTTAATGAGAGGCATTATTGTTTTTGTCTTTAGGAGAGGGAAGTCTCTCTTAATTGGCCTCTGGCGTAGCATGGGTCTTGATTTAATCCCAACTGCATCCACACTATAACTTTTTATTACCACTATGACAAGCAGACTAACCCAGAATTTTGCACACAGCAAGCAGACCTAGGTCCGATGGAATATAGGTAAGTGAGATTCTTATCACTGATCGCATACTGATGTTAGAGGGCCGCCCTTCTCTGAATTGCAGGAAGTATCGACAGTGTAGTCGGAGGAAGAGCACTACAGACATGTGAAAAGTATTCCAAGTAGGGATTCACTACTTGACTTGAGTTAGGTTGAAATCAAGTCAAGCTCAATTCAGGTATTAGATATTAGCAATGTAAAACAAGTCAAGTATTTTTAAGTCAATTACTTGAAAATTCAAATAGTCTTGATATTACTGGATACGTTTTGTAATATAAATACGAGTAGATTATAAATACATAACCGAAATAAATAAAATATTGTTCAAAATATTTTGTTAATCGTAAAACAAATGAAAGAACGATAAAACTGTAAACAAACAGAAAGAAAAACATATGTTCATCAGATGATACAAAAAATGAAAGGCTGTGAATTAAGTTTTCATTCGCTAACCACGAGTTAAGACAGATGAGGGTCCTAACTGATGTATCACAGTTGCGGGGTTCCGTAATCATGAGTGCAGCCCTAGAAAATTGTTTTTCAATAGACGCTGATATTGCAGGTGTCGATAAAAACTCTCTGCCATTAAAACGAAGCTTGGGAATACATTTTCATACCTTTTCCGCCAATCGTGATTATTTGCATTAAAATACAAAATACATCAGTTGTACAAATAAATAACACTGAAGGCCTTCAGTGGAACAAAAATATAATCTGCCATCAAGTATCAAGTAGAACAGTAAAAGAATCAATTCAATTCAAGCAATAACGTTTTGGGTTATTTTATTGTCAAGTCAAAATATCAAGTTACTTGACTTGATGAATCCCTAATTCCAGCACAACTCTTATCTGAGCCCTGAAATGAAATCCTAACTCTTAAACAGTTAACTTAGCTTTTTTCCAACGGCTGTTGCGAATGATAAAACGTTTTTACGCCACAAGAAATAGGCTGAGCCAAATCTTGACTATCAATCAAAGCCGATTGTACCATTGGGTGCTTCCTTATTAACGTGATAGAAGCACTTATCCACACTAAATGATTGAGTTCCCAGGTAGTGAAAATATACTGCAGGACATACTATACATAGCAAATTATACGAGTCGCCACTGTCCTCTAGACCATGTGTTGTTGCGCCCACACGCGCTGCATGAGGTCTGTCGAAAGCCCAAAAGCAGCGTAACACGCGTCAAAGAAAACAGACGCCTCCACAGCTTCTTTGGGTATTTGGGTGATATAAGGAAAGAATTCGACCTTCGCTACCAACAAAGAATGGCGCGAATTCTCAGAAATATTCATGAAAGAAATACGTTAACGAACTGTACAGATGTTGAGGATGACTTGCAAACATGTGCTGTAAGAATGAGTTATCTGTCCTCTTTTAAAATCGACAAGATAGCCAGTGCCATTGTGCTTTCTGGTCCTTTGACTTGATCATTTCTAACGGACAATGTAGGCTATTAACGATATTACCCGTGTAAATACTGGAACAGATTTGAATCATAATTTAAGTCTGAATGATCTTGCGCTTGGAACTGTAGAGATGTTTTGCGTTAACACGACGGAACTGTTTGTGATATGCTGCATTTATTGGTTGCTCTCGTAGAATGCGTATCCAACGCTGTATCTCTGAATTAGCAATAGGTCAAGACGAGGCGGTGGTCACTGAAGAGATTATCTACCTTAGGCCAAGTTTCCGATGCAATTCAAGCGGGCCCGAATAACTATAACAAGATATGAGGCAATTCAAAAAGATATATATGGCGATTCAAGACAATTACATTATCCGGTAGTTGTACACAGAGATCAAACAAATCTGAGTCAAAAACGGCGTCAAGTAGGTTGACTCTACACTTCTACGCAACGTCGTCATCAGTTCAGAAAGGACTATGTTCAGCACAAGCTAAACCCTCTGAGAGAAAACTAGTTTTGAACATGTACATTAGACGGATCAAGTCAGACAAACAGGCCCATTAAATTAGTCCACATACATCCTTTCCCTATCCTTCCAGTAGATACCGTCCATCTGGCAACGTTGCCTCCTTCCCATACCGTCAGACGCGGCAGCACCCACCGAAGCACCGCCGCAGTATGACCAGAATAATCAAGCAGACCGTTACGCTGGACGCTGAGCCCAGTCAGCAGAAAAGACGCGTATCGAAAACATTTCTCTATCATTATAAGTTTTGGCGACAAATTTACGGGTAAACCTATGATGTGTGAAATCTGGCTAATAGGTTGCGTAGAATTACCGGGGTTCGAAGCGTATATACTAATATTGAAAAATTGAGATATACAATTCCCACCCCCTACGCCGTAATTTTTTACTCCTTTTCAAAAATGATCAAGAGCCTCTGAAATGTGAAAAAACGACGTTTGATCGACTTTTATTTGTTCCGCCGCCACTGTACCGGTTTTAAAAAAAACTGCAAAGCTTTTTCGTCCTTGGCGTAGTAGTAGTCTTGTGAAACAATTTCATCCAAATCGGAGTAGTACTTTCAAAGTTATAGAGCGGTCAAGGATTATCGGACAGACCGACAGACATGTAAATGAGTGACATGGTTTTCCCTAATCTTATCTTCGAAATTTTGGAAGTAAAAAACTGCAAGCAGATTCGAAGATTGCTAAGCAGTTGCGGGGATCTCCAAGCAAATCCAGTGAAAGCTGAATGAAAACCTTTAGTTCCAAAAAAGAGAGTGTTTATCCCCTCGGGTCGAGGTTATACTGAAGTGTCGCTCTACATTGAGAAATTTTAACGAACGAGATTGAAAAAAATCATCTCAATGTAGCCGAAACGTCAGAATTGTCGTTCGCGGATACC